TCACTAGAATATAAACATAATACGGAGCGTACGAAACCTGTATGCACAGAAGAAAACCAGCTTGACGTACTTCAAGCAGTAGTAGAAAATTTTCAGGGATTTCAAATCATTTTATATAGTAGACAATGGAAGTCCGAACTAGTGAAATTCATCATGAAACATTGTCAATCACCTTCAAACAATTTATCATTTGATATACCACATCAAACGTTTGTTTTCTGATACTATTGATTTTTGTTGTCAATAATAAAATTTGGTTTGACATCTGACCACCATCTGCAATTTTGTGATGATAGAACCCCATTTGTTGTAAAAGTAGATTCATCTCTAAACAGAATACATCGATGAAAATCTCGTTGTTCTTCTATTTCACCCTGAATCCACATGGAAAAATCATATCTCATTTCTTGAAATATACAAATGAATGTAGGTTTGTAAGCATCATACTTATGTTTCTTGAGAATACGCTTCACAGATGTTTTTTTATGCCGGTATAATCACTAATTTCTTGGGTGGACCTTCTAGGATTTTCTACTACTGCTTGAAGTACGTCAAGCTGGTTTTCTTCTGTGCATACAGGTTTCGTACGCTCCGTATTATGTTTATATTCTAGTGAGCCGGTCTGTTTGAAATTCTTCAAAATTCTACTTACACTTGAATAGCAAATTTGTTTGTCTGGATGCCGCTCGTTGAAAATATTTGCAGGTTCGCGCATTGTTTTATAACCATCACCACAGATTAAAACTAATTCTGCCTTTTCAGTTAACGTTAATACTACTGGGCGAGGCATTTTTAATTAAGGACAAATATGAAAACGTTTTACAGGCAATTTTTAAGAAGCCACACTATCAAACTACAGTATTGTTTTAGGGGGCATGTGTTTTTTGTTCATGGCTATCCGCGATAGATTTTGGATTGTTTTTTAATATCTGTTCTGGTTGAGGCATTGTTGTCAGAATAAAAGAAATTTTATACTTTAGTGACAGTTTATTCATATGAACATTTAGTTAGTAAATTATTTGCCCCGTTGAAAAGAGTATTTGTTTTATTCTAGAGTTCTGTTAAATATCATTGCAACAAACATGAAGTTGACGGTCATCTAAAAAATACAAATCCAAGTAAATTTTACAAATACACTTCAATTTGATAAAAAATACCCCAAACTGATTTGATTGTAGCTACTTCAAATACATATTGAATCAAAATAGTAAAAATATGTATCATACGGGGGTAATTCAAAATTTTCCAAAAGAAAAAAAATTCGGATAGCAGGCCATGACTTCGTATCTGAACATTACTTTCAATTCTGAGCAACTTTTCTCTTCAACATATTTCTATATTTTTTCGTTACTCTATAACGAACTTTATATTTTTTGGCCCTATCCTGTATGGTGTTTGTTATAAAGTCATTTCAGGTACACTTGGTATGGTTTTGGAACACGCACCACCTTTTGTCAAGAATAAAATTTTCTGAGAAGTCGATAATAAAAAAGTTTCCCATTTGTTGCAGACTTAGTGGACCACACTGTATAGTGATGAATGATATTCATCAAAAATTAATTTGAAGATAATTCACTGTGATTGTGAGTGATAGAAGTGGTTTTTACATATAACTTTTGAGTACATTTGTAGAATTTGAGGTAACTTGACGGTATGCATTATTTATTTACATCATAAACTGACATGAATATTATTTAATATGTAATAAGTGTACAAATAAATTGATAAATTTATAAAAGATACAAATTATAATTATTTATAATGGTTGTCAACTTTGCAAATGTCTTAGACACTCGTTTCATGAAATAGTAATTGGCAAAAAAATTAGTTCATATGGCTTGGAGGCATTGTTGCCCTAGGAAACTGATAATGGGGATTTTAAGTTCTATTGTAAAATTCTTCTAATTTGCTCTGAAAACATTATTAGGGAGCAATTTCTAAATAATTTAGTTTTTCGTTATAACTACTGATATATTATAGTTCTGTTAAAATAAAACTTCATTATGATCCAATATTTGGATTGTAATACATGTTATAGAAGTTAAATTAGACGTTTGAATACTGTACTATATAAATATTATATATATATCGTAATACCGCTGTGAGAATCACATCACAAGCTTGCTTAGGTGACTCACAGTGGTTTATTACCTCATTCTTCTTTTTTTCCCTTTTTGTAAAATTTTTTCTGTAAATTACCTGAATTACCTGAATAAATTACCTGAAAATTACCTGAATCTAAAATACAGAAATGTATTCTGGGTACCGAGTAGACTAGGATTATGTACAAGACTTAATAAGTCGCAGTACTGTGAGTCATTGGAAGCTACAATCCAATAGAAATGTTTGCAATCAGCCTCAGTCTGCAGGTTCTACTGGAATTTTTTTGTATAATGTTGATAATAATTTGGATGGTTGATTTTCATGTGTGCATACTTGTTTGTATCCAAATTCTGATCGAGCGAATGAATGTTATTTCTTCAGAATCACAGTGGTTAGAAGGAATGCAATAATGAAAACACCATTTTTTTTAAAGTTTAATATCACAGTCTAGCTACTCACATTAGGACAGAAGATGATTTTGAGGATGGTTCATTCATACAACTTAACCTAAATAATACCAGGGTCAGGATGAGGAATCTTAGCTTACTTATCTAAATATCTACTGTGTCCAATAGCGTATAATCACGGCTCAATAGAAGCATTGGAAGTTACTTACGAATAAAAATATGGATACCTAAAATAATAATAAATAAATTCAATTCGGGCTATTACGTAGTTTCTATATTTAACGAGGAAATAAATAGCAGTGGTATAAAGTTTGAAAATATAATTTTCATTCAAAGTGTTATCCCTACACCCAAGTACTTTAGCCATGTTGGGAAGTTGAGCGAGTTACATCTTTCACAGTACTCCATATTTCTGTTCTGAATGGTAGTTCTAATTCATTTGCTACTCCAGTGTTTTCGATTTTTCGGTTGAAACTTGTATTTTATGAATGTCCCAAACATAATTTTTGTTTGTTAATAAACTACATTACTTCGATGACTGATTGTAGGTGAACAGGTCGTGTGAGTTATATTTAAATTACAATCGATTCATGTTGAAATATTCATAATTCAACTGATTATGTTACAAAAGAAATAAAAATCAATCAGATTTGGTACAGAAAGTATCAAGAAAATGTTCCCTGACTTATCGCGAGACATTCATCAGTTGTTTTTTTTGGAAGAATATTTGTAATTATGAATTTGATATCCTTCTGTACCCTGGTAATCTGCAAAATTGGGCGAGCATTGAAAAAATATTTCACTCTCACTCTCTGATTTTTCAACAAATGAGGTATTTTTGTGAATATTTGGCATGAATATAACTGTATAAATTTAGTAATGATATCTGTCACATGCTGAGATGGATTTGAGAGAAATAAAAGGCACAACGTATGTGAAATATGAATGTAACACAATATCTCAGACAAGATCCATATACAATTAAGTATCGAAAGTATTGATATTTTTGATGCATAATAATTTATTTATGACACTTTTTTTAAATCGTTTTTCAGTGTGAATATGTATATGTTTTGTTCAAATACCCAGTTAACATAGGTACAGTGTGTCATATTTTAGAGATTGGGCTTCCTGAAGCAGTCAGTAATATAATGGGTTAGGTCAACAATAATATCAAAAATTATTGAATGGTTATTGAAAATTGCTCGAATTTTCGATATACTTTTTGGAATGATTTTTGAACCGTTCAATATGCACCTACCCAAAATTCCAATTTTTTAAAATTCTGATGATATCCGAATATGGAAATCAAGATGACATTTCTTATGGAAAACTATAATGTTGAAAGACTACATTTCTAATCTTTGTTCTATGTATTAGAACCTATGCCTTGATATCAGGAAATTTGTACGGTCCATGGTACATGGAATACTTTCTCAAATTTGCCTAGCGAGTATAGAAGAATATGAAGGATCTACAAAATTTACATGAATCTTCTAAAACAAAACTCTATGAAAGTATGAGATGTTAACTTAAAAAAAAATCAAGAAGTGAATTCAAACTGATTGACATCTCATTGCTGAATTGATTTGGAACCTAAATGATGAATGAATATTCTTAAGTACAAAGAGATAATGATACACCATCATAACCGAGTCGATAATAAAATCAATTGAGAAACTATTTCATGAACTTATGGAAAATGAAACATTGTGTTTTGTGAGAAAAGTATTCATTATGAATGTATTATGAATCTTCATATGCAAATGATATTATGAACCTATATTTTGGGTGAACTGAAAATTTTTTGGGAACGTTTTATGTATAATCACGTTTTCGTAGTTCTATTCTGAAAAATAAATATTATTCCATATTGATTGTTTATATTCGTGGATTCATAAATAATATATGAAAGAAATGAAGTGAAATAGAAACAGTGAGTTTGATGATAAATACCTATTCACCTATTCAATTTCAGAGGGATTGAAGATGATATTGAAAAAAGATAACAAACTCAGTATACACATCAAAATTGGTGGGAGTTTTCTTGAGAAAGTTTGGCAATATTACCTAGAACACATTTTGATTCGATTTTCAATTTGATAGTAATCCAAAAGTCTCTGAGATATTGTGATATATTGTACATACAATTCTTATTCCATCTGTGACTGAACATAAGCACCTGGAGAATATAAAAATTAACTTCTTCATTATAATACAGATGATATAATAACTCTCTTAGAATTATTGGAACATTCCTTTTTGAAGTTCACGTTCCTCAGTAGCTTGGGAACCACTGATATGCCTATTTTTTGATATAATGGTTGTTCAAATTATAATTGAATAATAATCCTCGACCTCGATTATCTCACAATGAAAACTTCAGTATGGCGATTGCCGCATCGATTCTGATTGGGAGCTTGTACATTACAAAATGAAAAAAAGCTAAGTACAAATACTTCTTTTTGAATACAAATTACTCTCATCCAATACTTCAACATCATTCAATATATTGCTCTCGACACAATAATGTTATCCAAATAAATAAATACAAAAAAATGACGAAACTGACACTAATATTAACTTAATTGAAGTAGTACTTACAAAAACAGAAACAGTATAAGTTTTGAATTGATGTCGTGAATATAAAGTTAAAAATGAAGGTTTTCTATTTTCAATACAAAGTTGCAACTTGACGGAACTCATACCAGCATTTATGAAAAGAGTATAACTAATTCATAGTTGCTGCAATTGATGACGTCGACAAAAATGTTATATGCACCTCTTCAGCAAAAAGTTTTCTGTCGACTAACGCATTCGTATAAAAAAGTCTTTTGCATTTGATAACGCACATCAGTTGGACAGGATTTTTTATGTTTTTTACTTCTACACAAAGAACCATTAAAACTGACAGAAAGTTGAAGTAGATTGAAACACTAATGTCTGTCTTATCAAGTTCGGAAGTATCTTGGCAAAAATATTGGTTAACGGTTATATTTCATATCACGATCCAGTACAAGGTTCAAAAGTCTTTATCAACAAATAATAAACGAAACGTTAATTCGGAATGTAAATAATAATAAAACTTGATATTACGACTTCTACCGAAGAACCTTATGAACTCTGCTGTATCATTTAGAGAAATAGAAACTATCCTTGTCCGCTGACGCTTTCCAATTCCTTTTTCGCATAGGCACGTTTCTTCAACAGAATATCGATATCATCTTCGTTGTAATAAACGACGAAATCCTTGGGAGATAAACCTTCGAAAACAGTACAAACAGACGGTTTCAGGTTGTAGAAGAATAGTGGCTGGAGTCTCGCGGAGAAATCTTGGGACAAAATTTCAATGACAGTGGCAGCAGTGTAGTCAGCGCCGTATATGTGGGAGCAGTCTATGACGACTGGAAGGGCCTGTCGAATGCTGTGTTTCGTGACTAGGTTGCGGACATAGTCGACAGAGGGGAAGATTAGGCATCTGTCAGGAGTGAGCATGAGGTATTCGACGCCGCCTTTGGACTGAAACAAAGAGGTGAAGTGTTAATTTCATTCGTCAATTTTGTGATTTAAATATGTTTACCGATATTATATATTATTTCCACCACTTTTTTGGTGAACACAACAGAAATATTTTCATGACATACCAGTCCATTATGGTGTTTTTATTGCTCAGTTACATACAAATACATAATATTGTATTCATGGCGGGCATTGAGGGAAAATTTCAGATCCAGATGATCGTATCAAATACCCTTGACATCGAACTGGCAATTCTGTAAGGATCCGATGATAGTAAGATTTTGCGCTAATCTTGTTAGATGCCTATGCATCAATCAATCAATCATTTGTTGAACTCAAAGACCATACATCTTTATAACAGAGACCTGAACTAAGTTTATAAACCTTAATATCAATTAGAAATGACATATTTCTGAATATAAAACATACAATACATCTCAATAGAACAGAACGGTTAAAACTGTTTATCAAGTGATTTTTAATTGGATTTCAATAAAATGTTTGGGAGTGATTGGCACTTACTTTGATAACCAAATTATGTAAAATTGATTATTTTGCATCTTTTCTATTGATTTTATTGGTAATAAAATTTTTAGATTTTGTAGTATGATGTTCATGGATGCCTTTAACGAACTGAAATTTCACAAATGAATGTTTATTTTTATTGATAACAGAGTGAATGAATAAACATGTTTTCATTTCATACAAAGAGAAGATTTTGAGACGTTCATTCCCATCAAATGAATTGGAAATGGGATAACGAAACAATAATTTGGATATGAATTCTTGAAATCTCATTTTTTTAAGATATTCGACACCCACTAAATACACCAAGTATCAATGCAATGCAACATATTTCACTCAGTGCCTCGATATAAGTTGGTATTCTTCAAATATTCGTTCCACTGGAAATGGATAGCAATGCTTATGGTATTCTCATTCACCATCAAAATCTTCATTACCAATGGATATTCAGACAATAAGGAACTCGGAAAAAATATTTAGAATACTTCAGCGAAATCAAATTATGCAAGCAGCAAAGTTTTATTGAATGATCGAATTTATTTTACATTTTTGCTGCAAAACAATTCATAAACAACAATAAACAAAATCGGTTCATATATCAAGACGGAATTATAGAATTTCTCCTGAAAATAAGAGTGTTTCTGAAAGCTACTCTAATGAACAGTTCATTACCTAGATCATTCCAAAATTATAATAGCATCCGCCACACTTTTCCAACTCTATGTTCGAATATTCAGTTCCAATGAATTATTTGCAAATCTGACAGATCAGAGATATCTTAGAAACTAAAAAAAGCCACCAATATCAATTTATTAGATCCTTCCACTCCACATGAAATTCAGAACTCCATCGAAAAAAGACTTTCCCGTTCTTGTGCCCATCACACAATTAAACAATTTCTTCACACCCACTGTTTATCAAGAACCATTCAATCACTGATTAGGGAGATACCATACATACAATATTTAAAAATCGATTTTCAGTAAACCAGCAATTCTTTGTGGTATATGAATCAGTGGTACCCTCTATAATGACACTTTGATGATACAAAAACCATTGACACTGCACAAATTCCTATTTGAAAAGATTTCCTGGAAAATCTCAGCACACGATGTCTCCTTCTTTAGGTAATTCCTTACTTTCGCAAACATAAATGATTCGTCAAGTCACGACATTCGAAAATGTGTCCTATTATATATTCGAACACGTCAGAACCATTTTCAGTTTGAGGTTCTCAGTGAAGTAGATTTCAGACATATCTTTTGATAGTGAAAAGAGGAATGAAAATTTCTATGTTTTTTTACCACTTTTATTTGTAACTAACGTTACTGCAGTTTCGTCCTATATGGACATTTTCAAACTTAAACAAACTCTTTTCATCATGATCTCCTACCACGTAGTAACGGCTACATCCATCAATTTATCTTTTGACAGTGTTTGATGCATATGCAAAAGAAACGTCGGGCACAAAAACTGCAGACCGAAAAGAGTATATTATTTGTTAGACCATGGCCGTGAAAATCTGCGCAATATGATCAAACTACTCAATTCCAAACTTTCGTTGCGGTCCGTTGGAATACTATATCAGTAACTACGCTGAAAATGAAAGAGTTCTCAAGTTTACATCATCAGCTACTGGCCTTACATTTCTGTTCTATTGAAGATTACTGTTAGCTCTACGATTCAGTATACTGCTTATATATCAGGTCCCACTATCACAATGAGAAAATGGTAGAACTCATAAAGTTGGTTGAGTTGGATTTGGGGAGTTTAATATAGTTTTTTAGACTCTCAATGGTCGCAGAAATTGCGGAATTACTTTGTTGGTTTGTACTACCATTTCAAGTAATATGAGAATGAGACAAAACATGTGTACTCTGTTGATTATGAACTGAAATGAATTGATTTTCAACTCAATATTTCGTTCATTGTATTCTATCAACTTTTATTTCAAGAGGAACATCTAGCTTTCGTCATTAATTCAGGCGAGGTCGCAACACGAACTTGCAGCTGGACCGCTGGTTCACGGGATAATGGAGGCCTATCACCAGAAGAAAAATACAGGCATCGTCCTTCTTGTCATCCGTACGGCATTTGACACCATATGAACAGAAGGATTTATTGCGAAAATGTGGACGGCACACATGCCCTTATACATGATGAGAATCTTAAATTATTATCTCGTCAACCAGAAATTCAGAATTAGAAAACATCAAGCTCTCTTTACAGAAATTTCATTGAAAGCAGGTGTTCCGCAGGGGTCTCACACTTATACTCTCTCTATACGTACGACTTTCCAAAATGTAGGCATATACGCGGACGACACCGCTGTATATGCGCATTCATACTCTAGAGAAGTAGCAACAAGAAATCTGCAAATTTAAATGGATAGGTTAGTCGTACCATGGAGAGGATAAGATAAAGATAAATCCGTCAAAGGCTGAACTCGTCAATTTCACGAAGAAATTCACAGAGGCGGAAATCTTCAGTAAATTGTCAATTCAAGGGAAATATGTGAATTAACAGAAAAGCGCGAAATACCTTGGAATTATCCTAGAAAAGCGCTGGAATTTCTGATGGGATATAAGTTTCTCAATTAATTGGCATTGGTATCATAACTAATAGTGATCGATACGTTTCGTTTAGGCGTTTGCGAGACATAGCGTAAATCGAGCCGATCACCGATTTTATCAGACGGCTAGCTTATAAACACTTCAAGTGGTTTCTTCCCAAAAGCCCTCTGACTAGTGAAGTCACGGCTATTAGATCTCACCATAATTAGCCACGCGGACACGGTGACCTGATATATCAGTCCTAGGAAATCTTTCACGAATGTCGTGTTGAAGACCACTTGTGAGTTCATGAAAAAACTAGCATTGAAAGCTCGTATCTATAGTTCTGTCCTGTTTTTTCATGAACTTTTTACAGGAGTATCTGGCCAATTCTGACAACCATAGCGGTGACGATCTTTGAACGACCTCAACATCGATTAAATGAAACGGTGTGCATAGGCTTATGCAGGAGGCACACGAATAATACAGAGGAACAACGTCTACATTTCCCAGTGAATGCAACCCGCTAACATCGCGGGGGTCTTTCTACATCGCCTCCTTTCAGTGGGGGCGCGAGGGCGCGTCCGTATCGGAGAGGAAACCCTCACCCTTCAGGTGATGAACAATGAAATGTAGATGTGATATTTTGATTTTTCAAAAAGGGATTTTTGGATTTTGGATCTTGTCTTCCACTGTAATTTGATATTGCAAAGAAACTAGATGAAATCGAAGCCCAAAGACTATTTATGAGCCCCATAAGTAGTGCTAAGCCGAAATCCGAATGCATTTCTGACCTGATTTGTTTTCGAATTACAAGGCTGAATAAGGCGATCAGTTGCAATTCAAAACTTCAGTATCGCCGCAGAGTCTGGGTCCAAAAACAAACATTTGTGATTATTCAACAAATAGTGCTGTTTCGACCCGTCATAGGTCCCATTAGTGATGCTCAATGGTCCGTGAAGGACAACTTCGAGTGAATAAAGACTGTTACGGTTTCAAAATCACTACCTCAATTTTTAGTAAACCCCCAGTAGATTTCATAATGGAGATAGGGAAAGTCTATAAAATTCCACATACTTCATAGTTTACTTAAAATATAACAAAAATAATTTATTTCGTATTACGATTTATTATGACCCTGTATATGTCAGGAATATGAAACGAGTCTTCGTATTTTTGCTGGAATCGGCAGATTTACAAAGTTTATTTACAAAATATCGTTTTTTTCTACAAATAATTCATCTGTCTTTTATGACAGTTCATGTCATTTCGACATTTGGCATTTGGCATTCCACATTTGACATTTCGACATTTTCTTGGTTTTGGACCAGACACGGGAAGAACATCGCAATTTTGCGGATTTGAAAGAATATTTCAAAGTATTCCTGAATCGACAATTGATTTATCTCAAGGGAGATAATCAATTATCTACTGTCGTAGGATTTATGTATCTATCTCAGGTATGAACAAATATTTTGTGTTTTATTGATACGACCTTCTTGCTTGCAAGAAATTATGTTCAGACATGTATGAATTTTTAGGCCTTCATTTTCCATTTGCATGTTCGTTGCTAACTGATAACGCCCTTAAAATCTTCCCAACTTTGAGAATAGCGGTTGGCGAATCTCCACTTCTTGGACTCCTAGATAACTCACCACTGTTAGTAGCGACATAAGAGCGGGTGATTTTGAGCCTCATGTCTCAAAGAAGGTAATATTATTCCTTTTTATCGTTCATTTTGGTCTGAATGGGACGTATTGGCATCACAGAAGTAACACTACTAAAACTGTCAGCGTTACTGCGTAACCCACTTCATCTAGCTGAAGAGTACCTACTTTCACTTACTTTCGATTATATTAGTTTAGTATATTGTATTGAAATTTTGAAACCTTTGCTACCTTTGAACAACTGTAAACCGATGGTATGCATACTAGAGGGTAGATAATTCATCCGTCGAATTGGACAATATCCTTCATCTTAACATAATTCATTTTTCCATGTGAATAAATCAAAATTTGTAGATTGGTCACGAAAGTTAGAACTGACAATCTTCGTTCCAATTTTTCTATACATTCTATTATTGTTAAAAAAAAACTGTATTTCTCTATATTTGAACGACGCTCTCTTTCCCATAAATTTCATCGATAAAAGATTCGCAAATTAATTTACTCCTTCCTTCTTTCTTTATACCCACTCCCGTCTCCACTGTTGAAAAGCTGGTAGGGCATTTGTGGAGGTAATAAGACGAACATAATAAGACAAGAACATTTTTTCTTATGAAGACGACGAGATCGACAGAAGCATGTAGGTACATCTACTCATACTAGAATACATGAAGAGATATCCATAAATTTTGAGAAAGGTTAGACAAAACGTTATAGCGCTATGGTTTGAGCCGTTATATGCGATACTAGACTGAATCACTGATGATTTCTGGGCTCAACCGTCTTCAAACGATACGGTTGAGTAAGTGAAGATGATGATATCCCACATTACGAAGAAGCCATCTATTGGATTGACAGGAAATACAATCCATGAATTTCAAAAAGCCCCACCAAATCCCAAAAAACAAACAGTTATGATCCGACACCAGACAGCGTTGTTTCATCAGCTTCAACTTCAGTGGTGCTAATCAAATGTTCAAATACGAAAATGAAACTGCTAAAACCAAACGAACGGTATTCTATACAGTCAAGAGCCCATATATTGTTACTCTTGGCTCAGGAGTAGACGGATTTAGACCTTAGCGAGATCGACAAAATAGCGAAGATCAGTAGAGGGTGACCAGATGAGATCATCAGGGGGATAGGTAGATCAAGACCTCAGACAGTAATCAAGTATCTTGAAGCTGAAACATCGGAAGTTTCAAATACTCACCGTTAAACGTTCAACAGTTATTTTGGGCCTCGCAGCGTGGTACAGTATGAATAGCAAATTGATTCCAATTCCAACTAATATTCCAATCTCTAAAGCAAGTACGAGGCAGGCTATGAATGTGATTAGAGCCAGCATCAAGTCAAGTTCTGAAAAAGATAACTGGAATTATATTTTTGAAAACTGGATTTTCATTTGGAATTTCCACATTCAATTGAATCTCCCTAATTTTTGTCTGAAATTCTAATTCTGAGGAAGTATTACTCACTTTTCGTCCTCCACATAGGCCTGACAACCTTAACCTCAACCATGAATATAACCGCTGCTATAATAATTCCTGCTAGGGTAGCTTTTGGAATGAAATAGAAGTATGGAGTGAAGAAAAGCAATGCTGTTACTACCAGGATACTAGTGTAGAGCCCACCAAGGGGAGTTCGTACCCCACTGGAATTACTGACAGCACTCCTGGAAAGTGATCCCGTGGAAGGAAATGCCTGGACGAAGGAGTTGAACATGTTGCAGATGCCTATGGCTAAAAATTCTTGGGTGGCATCGACCATTTTACCATTAGCTGAAATGGAATATTTCGAATGTAATGAATTTCGAACTGACATACAATTATTATTGTTACAACATTCCAATTTGAAATATTCACACAATAATGAATAGGTATACTCATTCAAGAAGATATCAGGTATATGCAAAAATTATGGTGTGTTATTATCAGATGAAACCGATGAATCTTCGTCGAATGTTGTGATTGGAGGTTCTACAATTTTGTCAAATCAATGGTAATTTTCTTTTATAACATGTTCATTACTTTTTTCGGAATCGACATTTTTCGGAAACGACATTTTTCAAGAGCTCTATGAAGAGTTTTTTGTCATCTATTATTTTGAACGTCGTGTTTTTTCTTGCAACGAAGCCCTTCACTTGACCCCAAATAAGTTTAATGGGATAAAAGCTCGCAATTATGAGGGGCCGATGCAGAATGATGATATTTCGTTTTTCTGACATCTTATCGAGTAACTCTGTGAAACGAGTTTTATTTGAATATACTATGAACAACATTTCTTTTTCAACCATACTTGCTTTGAGAAAAAGTCAACAAAACATTATTCTTCGAAAAATAACCATAATATACTAGTGAAAACGATACGAAACATCATTCAGGGGTAGAGTGATATTATTATAAATTAAATATGAATCATATTTTTCTAATATTCAACCCATCTTTACAGGACTTTTCATGATGAGCGGTAATTAGCCGTTTCTGGCAAAATATTCAACGGATCAACCTGAAAATTCCACAGTATGCGTAAGTCATTATGACCTACACGCCTAAAATATTTCAGACGAAGCGGCGTTGTCGCTTCTACTATAAAGTAGCGGCTTCTTTGATTTTTCAAATGGAACACTTCGTATATAATATCATATTATCATTCATTATCACTTTGTCAACAAATTTACATACTATTTCCCTATACCTATGTATTACCGTTTAGAATATATAAATTAATTTCGATATTTTTTTTACCAAACATGAACTTTTATAAATGCTGATAATCTTGAACTCTCTTGCACTGAAACAATCAAATTTGAAACGGAGTGGAGTGATACTATGAGGATCTTCACTCCGAGTCATATTTTCATTTGCCTCATACAGGGTCTTCCACAAATGCAGATACTTTGATCTCATGAAAAAATGAGTGGAACTCAATTTTTTCAAATGGAACACCCTGTATATTTCAACATTTCTGAGCTCTACATCCAATTTTAGGTCAACTTTTTTCAGATAATACTATTTCTATTTTGAACCGTTTTCGAGATAAACTGTTTCAAACGGAAACTGACGTGATTTTGCTCGTTTTTTTGAATTCATCACCTATTTTGGATATTCAACATTTTTTTCATACTTAGTAATATTTCTTTTCGATCCAGTTTTCTAACTGTCTCAGATCAGTCAATTCGAAATTGGTATGTACCTACCTTAGAAAAAGTTACAATTTGTATACATTGAGGTATTGTAACAGTCATTATTGGGCGCCAGAAAATCCCCATGTTGTTCGCCAAAGGGGTTTTCAAGAAAGATGGCAATTCAATGTATTTTGTGCCATAAAGAATGAGTCAATTTTTTATATCGAGTTTTAAGATGATAATTTGAATGCATCAAAATATGAAGATTTACTGAGGAATGGAATTCAAATGATTTTAAATAATAGACCAAGAAGAGAACGTGTATGCTTCACCCCATAATTCTCAATCAGTCAGCGAAGAAAAAAAGAAAATAAAAATAAAAAGTGTAGAGATTCCAAGTCACGTTAGTTCACGACGTTTCGATTGTTAGTATCTACAATCGTCTTCGGGTGATGACAATCGTCTTTCATTCCTTTATTTTTATTTTGTTTTTATTTATTCAATTTTTCTATTTTTACTTGTAGTTTATTTCACTATTATTTCATTTCAGGTTTATTTTGCCTAATATAATTGTTATTTTCAGCTATTCATTTTTAATTATTCTTTTTCGTTGTTTCAGGGATTTCAAATCATTTTATATAGTAGACAATGGAAGTCCGAACTAGTGAAATTCATATACGGGGTGTTCCATTTGAAAAATCAAAGAAGCCGCTACTTTATAGTAGAAGCGACAACGCCGCTCCGTCTAAAATATTTTAGGCGTGTAGGTCATATTGACTTATGCATACTGTGTAATTTTCAGGTTGTATTTCTGGTTTTTCAATAAACCGTTAATGTACAATGTGAATAATAATAATCATATTTTTCAACTCCAATAAAACATAATTTTGAGCCATATAACATTGATTGAAAGTAATGGGCGGAGTTCAATTTTTGTGTGTGGAGAACCTACAAAATTTGTTTTTCTTGTTACCTCAGAGAAAAAACTAAAAAGTTGTCGTCTAGAAAACCATAGCATCAAATTTAGTTCACTGAACCTTCCTAGACCAGGCCAAATTTGAAAATCAAGGTTATTTCTTGACCTTCGATTGAAGGATTTCTCTTGCTTTTTGAGGTATAGGCAACAAGAAGGATTTTTTTTGGAAGCCTTGCGAAACACCATTCAGTTATCACATATCCATCAATAACCAATATAATAATCTAGAAGGTATCAATGATAATTCTTTATTGAAATGGATTGATCATCCACAAACGATTGATGAAAAATATGTGGGGAAAATGTTTCATGTGAAACATATAATTTCTTAGAAGGTTTTATATGTTCCGGTCAACTCGAGGAAAGTGTACCATCTAATAAAGATGTTACTGATACCAGTTTTCATTCATGAACATAAATATTCACCATCAATATTTCCGAATGCAGATGTTAGCAGTTTTGAAATCTGGCGATATCTATATATATATGGCTGAAATTTGACAGGTGACTTGCATTCGCGTCGCAATCTCACATTTGTCACTTGCATCATCAATGAAATTGATAAGCTGATCAGATTTAGTTTAATATCATACAATTCAACACATAATATGTAAAAGCTGATTGCAGTTATAATTGTGAACTCAAGTTGAATTACAGTATTCCACAGATTTTCAAACAGAAATGTAAACAAATGTTGAGAAATTATTTAATTTTGTTTCAATCTCCTAATATTTACATAATCTACTCATGCATTTTCCCAACGTTTATTTCGCATTGAATTTTGAAAGCAAATATGAAAAATTATATTATAATTCGAAGACGAGAATGTGAATATTCGCTTCACTACCACTATGCAGTCTATAACACTTTAAAATGAGCAAATTTAGCGTAGAACGTGAATATTCGCAATGTTTTCATCAGATGATCCTGTTGACAACACATCATTATTACTCCCATTTATAGTTATCGTTGAATTCGCATAAATCACAGAATTCAGTGTCTGAAATTTTCCACTCTATCATTAAATCATTAATATTGGATGAGCGTGTTACCAATGACCGTGAACCTAGATGAATAGATGATTTATAGCAGGCTAAAGTACATTATTTTATGGTATATTCCTGGATATGGTATATCATAGATATGATAATTTCAAAAATGTTACTGGATAAGAAAAACCACAGAATAGTTTACTCAGTCTGTAACTTGTATACCTGCTATTTGCCAATGAATTGAATGATCAATAGAAAAAAATAAATTCCTACACACCAAGTTGGTTGAAATACATGTGTTAGTTGCTGAAACGATGCATGCAGATTTTTTTAAACTCAAAGAAATATGCTGTATTTTTTTCATGTAGACTATCGACTGTGATATCTTAACATGCGATTCTTTTGACGTTTCTGATTAGGGGTTCTTCAGTGGTAAATTTATTGGATTTTGATAACGGTAAAGTTAGTGTTCCAAAACTTTGACCATCTGAAAGAAGCTAAGTATACGATTATACTTTTTTTACTATCTCCACTGGTAATTCAATTTGTAGACTGAATTTCTGAATACAACAAGCTACTGACAAATTGGACCCTTCAGTGGTTTATAGCTATAAGGAAGTAATTTTTCGAGGTTAAATTTTCAATTTGCCCTCTAGTAGTTTACACTTCAGCAGTTTCTTTACTGATTGATCTTGGGTCAATTGAGGCTGGGTCTATGCGCTTACTGCGCAATCTCTGTTGCAAGCAACCAGTGATGCAATTGAACCCAGGTTTGTGTTCAATAAACCCTACAAAATACAAATAAAATAGAATACAGAGTCAGATGCTACAAATGCAATACGCATATATACAGACGCATATATACAGACTCAAAAACCGAAGAAGGCTCAAGATGTGGGGTGTACTACAGATCGCTGAGCCTGAGGATCAAGGGAATGGGAAAAATACCAGCGTGGTTCAAACAGAACTGGCTGGTATCTCAATCGCAACAAAAGAAATAACCAGAAAAAGAATTTCTGGCCAAAACATAACAATCTGCACTGACAGCAGACAAGCCCTATTAGCCTCGAATAGACAGCGTGTAACCTCAGGGCTAGTACTAGAGTGCCATCAAGATTTAGCCAAAGCCTCGGTAGATAATAACATTATCCTGAGCTGTGTTAAACGGCACGACAGGAGTAAATTTAATCGCATTGCCGACTCTTCAGCCAGCGAAGCGACTGGACTAAGAATTGCAGAACCCAGTGGTAACTACGGCCTGATGACTTCGACAATTGTGAAACTAGCCAAACGTCACACCCATGCTCCATCCCTAAAGAGATGGGATGGAAAATCTACGCTCAACAGTAGGATATCTGACTGGCCACTGTCAACTGAGGAAACACCTCCATGATATAGGGCTAGTGGACACACCTCTATGCAGGATGTGTGAACAGGAAGGTGAGACTATCAGGCATGTCCTTTGCAAGTGCCCGGACTCATCGTCAATAAGAGAGTGTGTGTTCGGTGAGTCTTGGCCTACACCTGCCGATTTAAGGGAGATGTCTCCCAGTGACCTGTCCACCTTCCTGGAAAGGACATGATGGACAATGACCTAGGAGGACAACTTCTCGGGAAGATGTACAATGGGTCACATGTGGCGTAAGTGCTGTGGGCTTACACTCAACCTCCCTACTCAACAGATTC